CCCTCTAACTTATTTTTGTTCCTTGACGTGGTTAAGAATATTAGTACTGGGTTAAATTCAGCAGCCGCTAGCTGACACATTACAACACTTCAGTTGCCAGTTTATTCTCAGGAAAGATATATAATTTACGTGTTTTATCATGTTTTCCTGAGCTCAATTGTTTTAATTACTTTTTCAGATTGATTCTTGGTGCAAAGAGAATAGTTACGTGATAGCTGGATATTACCAAGCTAACGAACGTGTGAAAGATGCCAGGTGTGTTGGTACAATATCTCCTTCTGTTTACTCTTTTGTGCTGCACTTTGTACTCTGCCAACAAAAATCATTGCACATAAAAAAATCTGTGAATGTCGATTAACTTTGACAACTGTCATGTGGTTGCACCTCATTTCCTGCATACTGCTGGATATCTGTGAAAGGTCTTTTGTGCAGTTTGAGGAAACCCCTATCTTTCCAGAATTACTCCTCTCTGATGGTTATTATTGAATTGCCAGGTATTTGAAAGCTTGCCAACCAATTTAATTGGCAGATATTGGGGAAATAACTGGAATTCACAAGCATATTCACTTGCCTACCTAATATCTTGTGAACTCCTAATTCATGAATCTCTGAATCCTTTGGGAACTATATCTGAAGTGATTTAATCCTTAATTGCTTCTGAGTTTCATTGAAGCTCTTAGTTACTTAGTTATGGAGCTGCCTTGTAATAAAATAGCACATACATAGAGCGGGAACCAGACTCCTTACTCATCACATGCCTGATGTGAATGGTCCTTATTGGCAAGGGGGAAAACTTTCAGAAGCCCATAAATCATTCAGGAGTATAAGTTCCCTTGGAGGTCAGCATGATTTAGGTGGTTTTGAAAATTAGAGTTGGGCTCCTCTACATCAAGTCTGCAGTCAGCCTGAAATTTTTACCCTAGGTGTACTCACTCAGACAGTTTTGTCACATGTCAGTCCTACTTGAAGAACAAATTGTGCCCTAAATATTTTACAACTAAAGATCATGCTTAGGGTTTTTCCAGTCCAGGGAAGTTTGTATCCATATAACTGTACTAATGTACAGTCACATTGGTGGAAAACCCCTACTGCAGGCAAATGCTTGCGCCAAAAGGAGTTTGAATCATATATTTAACAGGGAAAATCCTATCTTATACCAGGGCATTGCATCTAATACCTGGTTTTATGCTGATATAGCTGCACTGATACAAAACTGGAAAACAGGATAATTTTATCTGTAGTCCTTTTTGCAAGATTTTCAAAGCACAGGAGTGACAGAATAGCTTTACTATTTGCTGTGTGTCACTGAAGTAGTTCAGTGCAGTTGTTTAGACTTTCTAGTTCAACAAAATAGTATTTGGGGTGAAAAAATCTTCAAAATTATACTCAAATGCATGTGCAACTGCAGCCTGATCCACAAACAAGTGTATGCTAAACTTTCCCTTTGAATTCAGCTCATTATATAATCAAAAAGAGAACCTTCCTCTGGTACAACATTGTAAGCTTTCAGGCTTATACAACCAGGTATTTTTCTAGGTATAAATTAAGGCTGTCCAATATTAAGATTAAAATTAAAGTATTTATCTGCTCTATTTAAATTATAACATCCTGTTTGAAGCATTCGAAAATAGTCAAGCCGTCTTGGCCCAAAATATCTTTCAGCCTCAAGACTTATTGACAACTGAAAACACTCATGATCTTTGGGCAGAACACAAGAGTTTTTGAATGGGCTTACTGTTTGATAGCTAATGTTTTAAGTTCATGCAGCTTCTATTTGGACTCTGTTAAGTCCTATAGCAGAAACATGAGGGAGATTTAATTCCAAAATACTTTGTTTCATTAGTACTACTTGTTCTTGAGCTCTGTGTCTTGTTGAACTCGAGCCTATGGAACGGTTCCCATTAACTTACACAATGCCAGAAGAGTGGCAGGGTATAAGATGAGTTGCATAAGAGACTTTCATCAGACTTGTTCCCCTATGAGCACACACTGACTAGCACAGTGGAGGCTTTGATCTCCTTTGCAGCTTTTTTGTGCTACCATTGTTCTATCAGTATTAGCAATAAGCCCTTTTTTCGCAAACGGGTAAATTCTCGTAAAGATTTGAAAACTATAATGAAGATTGAATGTGGTGAATATTACCATATTTCATCCATCTGAGCAGTCTGCGTGCATATATTACTGTGCAGCACTTCCAGGTGGTCTGAAGAGCTGATTTTTCTCAGGTGATGATGCACCTGCCAGTTTCCAAGCTACGGTGTGTTGTTACTGTGATAGCACAATCTGGGCTGCTGTCAGACTTCCAGATGCATTTTGGGCTAGCAACACTGAAGTACACACACTTGTCTGCACACTGCACAGCTTTATCTTTGTGGATCAGCTCAGCCGTGATCTAATGTTCTGCGCCAGCCCTGACAGAGTAACAAGTATGGTAAGATAGAACTAAATTGCAAAGTGACATGGGGAAAATAGAGCAGCCAGTAACATAGGGAACGAGAGAGATTTGGGACTTTGCAATGTAAAGCTCTCCATGCAGGTAGCGCAAAACTACAAGATTGAATTCCCCTGCTTTATCCCATTAAAGTGAACCTGTCTTCTGCTTTCTATTCTCAAACAACCTATACTGTGCGACTGAGCCCTAGAGTTGCAGAGGAAGTATGAATAGGGCTGCTGTAAGCAGCAGTAATCTGGTGCAGGAGAGCATCTGAAAGAGAAGTTTCCCTCCTATTTAAAGTTTAAGGGTCGTTGCTGCTTTCTTAAATCTGCTAAAGACTTCTATGAGCTTATGAGAAGTACATAATTTCCAAGAGAATTTTTAAGCAGGTTAGATTTATTAGAAAAATACCGTGCATCTATTCACTTATATTTCTGGATTCAGTTATTAAAATGACACTCTCATCATACAGTGACTATTAGTTTTGAAACTTTGGTTGCTGTTTCAAAGAAATAACCATCCACTAATTGTTTGGATGTGTGGACCTGAGTAGGAAGTGTGTTTTTACAGATTGGGTAACCGGCTGTAATAAATAAATTAATGAATTAAATAAGTAAATAAATAAATAAATAAAAAAGGTCACTTTCCAGACTCCTGTGAAGAGAGCAAAACTTAGCTGTTGCTCCTGATCTTGTGAGAGGGGGTTGATGGCTACAACGTACTGCATCACGTCTTCAATAAATATTTGCTGCAAAAAACCTCCCAAAAAATCTTGAGCATACTTAAGATAGTGATCATAACCTGAAGTTAGATTTTTTTTTTTTTTTCATGGTCTGACTTAAATCAAGCATAGCCTCCATTTAATGCCTTGTTCCTGTTTGTTGGTACTTTTTTTCTCAAGTGTGTTCTCAGTATTATTTCATATTGTTTCAGCTGAAATGCTACAGTACAAGGAATACGATTAACTTGACCTTCTTCTGTAGTCCAAACCAGGTTGCTGAGAAGGTAGCTTCCAGGATTGCAGAGGGCTTTAATGACACGGCACTCATAATGGTATGTAATTCCGTTTATCAGGGGTTTTTTTCAGATTATCAATGCAGAAATGAGCATTTAAGTACAAATCTTGGATCTGTTAGTAATGATTAATTTGCCGCGTTCTTTGGAATGCCCTGGGGAATCCCTTGCGGGGCTTTCCAAAAGCCCCTTTTGTCTAGCAGATCTGCTGATCCATCTGAAGAAAGATTGCTTCTACCCATCGTGGGTTCTAGAAAAAGTTGCTGCATTCTGCGCCTCTGGCATGTGAATTAAAGAGGAGTTTCCTGAAAGACTCATTTCCTCCTTCCAAACCCTTTTCTCATTTAAAGTCTCAGCTTGCATGTAGCAGAAGCCCAGCTCCACTTTTGCTGCATCAACAAGGATTGTTGATGCTTTAGATAGAAATGACTTTAAACCACTGAAAAGTGGATACCTCAAAGCCTGCAACAACATGCAGCAGTAATTAGGTTAGCAGAAGGCATCAGTGTGTTCAGAACCACAGTCCTCCTTCATATGACCTCTTTATTTGGGATGGTGTGGGGAAAGACCATTATTTGTTTCTGTTGCATCTTAGGTGGACAACACAAAGGTTACGATGGAGTGCATAGTGCCCGCTATTCATGTCTATGAGCATCATGAAAACAAATGGAGATGCAAAGACCCACGTTTGTGAGTAAGCCCTAAAATATGATGAAGGGATGGTGTCCCGTTACAAATACATATTCAGAAAAAGTAAAATTTTCTTACAGCACTTGCAGAACAAAAGAGTTGGCTGTAATTGGCCATGCTTTGAAAGCCTTGTTTTTTCATAACATTAATGGCTTATAAAAACCCTTTCTCAAAGCCAGTCTTCTGCTTCCTCAGCTACAGCCACTTTGCACAATGTTATGACTTATTTGCAAATGGAAACAGATTGTGGAGGCTATTTTCTCTGTGATTACTGTTAATTCCTAGTTATTTTACATCTAGGGATTATTGTGAAGACTGGCCCGAAGCTCAGAGGATCTCTGCATCTCTCTTGGACAGCAGGTCCTATGAAACCCTTGTGGATTTTGATAATCACCTGGATGACATCCGGAATGACTGGACAAACCCAGAGATCAACAAAGCTGTCCTACACCTGTGCTAGGAAGGCTCCCACTGACTAATTTATTGGCATTTCCACTGTATGCTGAAGATATAAAAATGATATTTTTGAATGTAAATAAGATAATATTCAGTACCTTAAGTGGAAACCCAGCAGATTAAAAGTGGCACATCACTTGGTCAAGAGTGATAGGGCCTATAAGCAGTCAACTCTTTTTAATGAGGATCCTTAAAAATACAAATCATCAGTTAGCCATTCTTGTGGATTCCGTCCCAAATGTAGTTGAATGTTGCTATAACCTTCCGAATCCAAACGACTTCTGCTTGTCCAAATTGTTCATATTAAAAAGTTTTGACTAACCTTTTGTAATCTTTAGAGAGAGTAATTTTTAAAGATTTATGGAATATCTTTCAAAAACGAATCTCATCCCGAGATGAGATGTTTTTAAACTCTTACGTCACAAATATGTAAACAGAATCCAGTGGCAACTGGTCTTTTGACCTGGTTCTTAACTGGCATTATATTGATGCAGTCCAATAACGTGAACTGCTAAAGATTATGCCCTGTGCACATACTGCGTTTGTTTTGCAGCAGTTTAGCATGTCACAGCTACAGAATAACATACTGAAAGCAATATTCCCAAATGCTGCAATGATTCCCAACACCAGTGGGAATACAACCATGGTAGCTGCCTGAAAAAATGTTACGACGAAGGTAAAAACTAATCTTAACCTTGTGGTTTGTATTTAAAAAAAAAAAAAAGACTTGAAGCTTGTTAATGGTTTTAAATGAATAGAAAAGCTCTGACAAAAGTGAGGAAAATAAGAAAGGACAGTGGAATACTGTTTCAGTTATATGCAGTCTTTCTATCTGGTTTTTAAATGGATATATTTAATTTTGAGCTGATTCATTCACTGTCCATTCAAATATATTTATCTGTTAAGTTAAGGGCAACTGATCTGTCTCTAGAAGGTAGATCTGTGGAGCCAAGATACACTCTAGTTTCATCTTGCATTCATCTTTCTAATTTAATATCTTTGTTTCTAGCACAACTTGATCAGTTGATGGGGACGTTTTATAACTTCGTTTTCTTTGACCTTATTTTTATATGTATTCTTTTCTATCGGGTACACCAAAGCCATTGTACCTTATTTACTGTCTTTCCTTCGACATTATTACAGGACTTGGAACAACGCAACCTAGCAAACCTAATGAACTTGAAAGGATTGATTTTTTTATATTGCTCAACACTTTTTTAACAGTAACAGCCATTCCAAATGGCAGGAAAATGCTTTAGTTGACCAACTGCTGTTGTAGCTTTTCCCCCCGCTACTTGAAAATAAACTTGATGTGGGGAACGCCACTTGCACATTGTGGACTCTTTGATGGGGTAGGAGAGAAGGGGAGCAAGATAAATGGCCTCGGTTTAGGGTGGTTAGGGAACAAACTCATTTTTAATCTCAAAACATCCAGTCTTAATTAGCAAGATGATTTGATTCTAGTAGAACTATCTTGGGTTACACAAATAAATGCTGCTTAGTCCATGGAGGGCATGGACAAGCAAACGAGGCACAGCAAGTAAGGGGGCATCCAGGTGCTTGACCATGCGTGAACTGTTCTGCAGGGACTGTCTGCCTCTTCTTTTCCAACAGTCAGTGAAAGCTCAGTCATGGTAGCTTAACCCTGAGTGAGGGAGAGGGAAGTTAGTGCAGTCTGATTGTTCTTTTACTGCAGGAGAAAAGCAAGACACAAATAGGAAGTACAGAGCAGCTGATGCATGGAGAGTTCTCGCCCCATTTACACTTCCTGTCATTGTTTCTGTTGGCCTATCTACAAAACAAAAACAAAAGATTCGCAGTACTCAATCTCCTACTTTTTGTTGCTTTCCTCCAGTTCTGGCACAGGGTTCCAAACAAAAAGCCAACTCTGAGAAGTGGCACTTTCAGAATTCCTGCCCCGCACTAAAAAGTGTGTGCAGTTGAGGGGGTGGTTACAGAAATGACAGGTGCTCTTATTTCAGAGAGAAAACAAAGCGACTTCTAGAAGCATTCTCCCAAGAAGTGAGAATGTTCTACAGAGTCTTCATTGAACAAGTGAAACTGAAATCCAGCTTGCAGCTTGTAAGAGATGCATTTTAGTCTCTGGTATGCTACAGATCCACTGCAATTTTAACTCTACTAGGTACTATAACGTTCCAGGATAAACAGTAGGAATCGCACGCGTTGTATAACGAAAACCTTTGCTTTATTTCAGCACACATCTTGTAAAGTCTAAACCTGTTGTTTCCAGGGACAGATTGTCTTAAGATGCAACATCATTAAACAGCACTGAACCGCAAGCTGATATTTCTTCTAAACTAAAGGAAATGTATTTCCCATTCTTCCCAACTAGGATGTCATATAATCAAGTTTTTGACCATATATACATTTACATGCTCTAATTTGTTCTGGCATGAATTCATCTCTTCCCCTCTTAAGCCTTCCCAAAATGCTAAATGTTTGGTACAGATCAATTTTTGCAGTTGTAAAATAAAATTAGCACAAAGCAAAATATGTATCATTGGGAGCTGTAATCTGATAGACATGATGAACGCTATTAGTAACTGAGCAGCAGCAGCGTATTGTTAAACACTAAGAGGCTTTGCTGGAAGGGAGGGGAAAGAAGTATCATATAATGCTTTTCCCTCCTCTCACTCGTTCTTTTGTTTGCTGGTAGGTTTTTAATGAGGTCCGACGGGCATAGTGCCCACCAAGAAAGGCAGAGGCTGGTTTTAAACAAAAATGGGCCAGTGTTGCAACGCTCACTTCCCATCCCGCCTGCTTCATTTGCATTGAAGGGTGGACAAAAGGCAGCAGTTTTATGAAGGCAAAGCCTGAACCTGCTTTGATTCACGTTGGCTTGTGAAGGAAAGTGAGAAGGCGGTTGGTCTCCATGAGGGCTGTACACTCTTCTTTGCATTGTGATTTTTTTTTTTTTTTTTTTTGCTGTGTATTTAGTAAGCTGACCTGTGAAAGCAGCTGGGTAGTTCTTGGCATGTGGAGCCACTGGATTTTTTTTTTTTTTTTTTAAAGGAATTCAAGCTAACACGCCCTTTTAACCTTCTGGGGGAAACGAGATCTGGTGGTCAGGAGGAGCCTGGGGGCTGAATCTTTCATTAACTGCATCTTGGTAATTGTCTTTATTCTGTTTTCTTCTCTCCTGTGTCATAGCCAGATTCTCCCAACTAAGAAATCTGCCTTCAGAGCATAGCCACGTAACTTTCTTCATCAGCCCAGCGGGTTACTAAGGAGTGCCATTCAGGCTTCTCTTCCTTTGCCCGCCATCACCTGAGGTCTTAAATAGTCACCTCTTTAGTTTGCCTGCCCTTACCAGTCCAACTTCCTGAGATTAGGCAATACCTGTGTTGCTGTTAGCAACATTGGTGACAAGCAGTTCCAGCAATTAACGAGTGAAAATGGCACAAAAGGGTTCAATTTGGCAAAATTCTGCTTTTGTGTAAATGTGAGCAAGGGATTATGGCCTGTTGAATGAGTTGGAATAATGGCCTATTGAATGAGTGCAAGTGGTTTCCAGTGGTGATTACCCTTTCCTGAATCCAGTTCTGTGGCAGGCATGGGGATGAGTGCTAAATCTAGAGCAATATATGTGAAGAAGGACTCTCTTTTTTTTTGGTGATTATCTTTATTGGACCATCTACCCAGTTAGGAGAGATGTTAGATGTACTTTTGGGCACAAAGACCTTCCCTCAGTATATGAGGAAGAAAGAGAGCTTGGTTTGGCTGTAGCATCTCGGTTTTTTTATTTTTTTTTTTATTATTATTATTATTTTGTTTGTTTTGTTTGAATGAGATCCTGCTTTCTACTCAGGTAGGTATAGTGAGTTGACCAAAGACCCAAAGAGACCCCATGATAGGCAAAGGGCATACAGTGCTTATTTAGTCTGGAGAAGAGAAGACTGAGGGGGATTGAATAGCAGCCTTCAGCTCCCTGCAGCGGGGTTGCAAAGAGGATGGAGCTGGACTGTTCTCAGTGGGGGCAGATGACAGGGCAAGGAGCAATGGGCTCAAGTTGCAGCAAGGGGAGTTGAGGTTGGATATTAGTAAAAACTTTCTCACTAGGAAGGTAGTAAAGCACTGGAACAGGCTACCCAGGGAGACTGTAGATTCTCCATCCTTGGAGGTTTTAAAGACCTAAGTAGACAAAGCCTCATCTGGGATGATCGAGTTGGGGCTGCTCCTGCTTTGTACAGGGGGTTAGACTAGACGGGACCTCCTGAAATCCCTTCCAACCCTAATTTTTGATAGTTCTACGATTCTACACAATACACTGGCCAAGAAGTCCATCAATGGCTAACAATCTACAGATTTTCTGAGACACTAAAGACATCTGATTTCCAAAGGGTGTTGAACGCCTTGCCTCTAAGTTGGGGGCCTTTCAGAAGTATTTACTTTTGGGCACCCAGAAACTGTCACCCCAAATCACTAGACACTGAAAATATTGGCTGGGGTGGTGCTGTCTGACCAAGAATAGTTCCATGGGAGAGGGAGTCTTGTCAGGGTCGACTCAAGGGTTTGGTGATGGGAAGAACAAGTATCCCATCCTGCTCGGACAAATGGGGATGGTTAAAAGAATGGGAACTGGTAGCTGGCAGCTTCACTGCATGGGAGGTATACCTATATCTAGTGTTCACCGTGTTATGGGTGATCTCTCCCTCTTCCTGCCAGTACAGCTGGCCAAGTGCTCAGGTCCCATTGTAGGTAGATTTTCTGTAGCAAGTTGATGCCTCTGGCAAAGGCTGCCTTGTGTTGCTGTTAATGCTGGTGCAACTAAGCCTATCAGGAGGGCCTGTAATGCAAAGTGGTTAAAACACAGGAATGAGCTGATGGGCATCATTACAGATAAATAGACTGGGGAAAACTGATTCTTGTTCCTAGTTCTGCCACAAACTCACTATGAGGTCTCCAGCCAGGGATTTCGGAGCTTATTTTCAACCATGATCAACACCGTGTAGCCCTCGGACCTCAGCACGTTTGTGATTTGCTAAAAGTTTCCCCCCAAATTTGGCTTCTAACTGTTATCTGTGTTCAGCCCCGTGCAGTACAGACAATGCTACTTAACAACTGCGGTAGCTTCCTTGGATATTTTATTTGTATTTTTAAGCTGCCCAGCAGAGCGTTACTTGAGACAGAGGCCCTGCTGGTACATTAGGTGCTGTACAAGCTCATAGCGAGAGATGGTCACTGCCCCGAGAACTGACGGGCCAAATGGAGAAGACACGAGCAGGGGGAAGTGGAAACAGGTAGAGAGAGAGGGAAGCTAGTTGCTGTATTCCTTTGAATATAAGATGCACTTTTCAAAAGTGAACTACTCTAAAAATGGCCTGTCTTGCATTCAAGTCAAAGTTTGCGGGGAGCGGGGGAAAAGCTCTCGCATTTATCACAGTGGTTATATCCTTGTAAATGTGTCTTAAGCAACAAATACAGCTTTCCCTTAAATCGAGAGTCAGAAAAGGTTGGTGCATCTTCCATTCAAAGGCACATTACAGTTGAAGGAACGTGGTGTCTGAAGTCCTGTCTTGGCTCAAAGTCCCGTTTCAGGGGCCTGCTTGCTGGAACTCGCTGCCCCTGCCTGGAAAAGTGCTTTGAGATCCTTGGCTGCAGCAAGCAGATGCTCGCAGCCAGAGGATGCCAGCTGGGAGGAACTTGTGTTTTCTCCTAACTCAGCGGATGTTCCTGAGGGGAAACATGCTTACCCAGCACTTGTGAGCCACACTTCTCCATGCATTCTGTTCTGCTGCTGGAGAGGAGCCTAATGCCTGTAAGTCATCCAGGGGGACCTGCTGCTTCTCTTCCCTTCTGCTCACGCTTCATCAGTATCTCATTACTCGGGCTCTGGGTCCTTGCGCTGCTCCTCCACTGCCTCCGAGTCCTGCGCTGCACCGTTCCTTGCCACTCAGCTCCCAAACCTCCTTGCCACGTAGCCTTCCACAACAGGTGGTGACTTTTGCCATGTAGGATCCACTAGAGACTTAACTGAAACCATTGATTTTGTTGTCACTTGGTTTTAACCCGCATCTCTCATGCAAAAGCCATTCGGCTGCTGTGCTAGCTAGGCCCCTCTCGCAGTTTTGTCTGGGGTTGTGAAAGGTTACAGGCCTGCCAGCACACTGAACTGGGACAGACTTGGCTGCTGTTGCAATAATAGCATCACATGAAAAGTGAGCTTGGTCCTCATTTTCACTGTGTGAAGGTTGCCCTGAATGCCCGTTGTCTAGCTGTTCTCATTGGTTTTGCAAATCTTACCAGGCTGTGGAGCAAGGCGGAGCGATGGACTGAAAAGGTACAGCCACAGGGTAATACATAG